AATAAATCTTTGATCATTGTCATCATGGAATAGGCATACGTGATGTTGTTCTGAATTCTTCTATACTTAAGGATGTTTGGGAGAAGAAGAGTGATAATATTAACAAATATCTTCCATATTGTGTCATTTTTTGTAGATCTTAGTCATAATAAAGAATAGACCCAATGACTTAGCAAATAATTTTAAATTATGAGAATGAGGCATACTGGTTTCTCAGCATGTTCTCATCTTTATCACACGACTAATAAGTCAATAAGTTTTACAGAAAAAAAACAGTTGCCCAGGTTCCACACAAAAAACAGAAATTTAGTGTCTCTAGGAATGGAGCCCTGGAATCTACATTTTATAAAGCTTCCCAGGTGACTCTGATGCACAATCTAGGACTGAGTAAGAAGAGAGATGGGAAAGCTATAGGGGTCCATCACAGACTCCATACCACCTCAGAAGGGCCTTGGAGATGCGGGGAGGAGTTGGGGGCATAGAAACAACAATGCCTGGAAAACCTGGTCAGCCCTGAGATCATACACATGAACAGAGAGGCCAACAAGGTAGGCTTCACACAGGGGCACTTCTTTCATTCTCACCTGGGGCAAGCAGTTGCAGCCAGCATGGCAACATGGCAACTCTTTGCCCCTCTTCCAGCAGCTCTGATGGCTGAAAGGGCTGGGCTAGAAGCAGAGGGCTGGGCTGTGATCAGAAGGGGGCCTAAGGCAGGGAAGGCCCAAGGAGGAGGGGTGTGGGGGGAGAAACCTGTTGGGTCCTCTGATTGGTGGGCTCAGAAGAGTGGAAGCCTGTCTTCTTTCAGGAGGGGGCAAGGGGATGAGAGGGAGAAGAGTACCTTGCTCAGCCTGCCTTTTCCACCTAAAGTCTGGACTATTACCTCTGAAAGCCTTCTCTTGCAGAGTAACCTGGGGTGGGCACAGCCTCAAAGGACTGACCCAGTAATACTTTCCCTAGGCTCCCCAAGGACACTGTCCCTTAAGAGATGCTCCCTCAGCCCAGGCCCTCCAATCACTCATGCCATCCTCCCACTCCAGCCTAAGACCTGGGATCTTCCCTAGTTAGGACTGGAGCAGAGCTAGCACTGACCCATAGGTTACAGCAAAACTGGAGACAGAACCTGATGTCCAGTCAGAAAAAACCCTTCATTTACTGCCTGACTGACTTAGTTAGCTAGGACTGCTGTAACAGAAATACCACAAGCAGATGGCCTTAACAAACAAAAGTTTATTCTCTCACAGTTTAGGAGGCTAGAAGTTCGATTCAGGGCGCCAGCTCTAGGGGCAGACTTTCTCTTTCTGTCTGCTCTGGAGGAACATCCTTGTCTCCATCTGTAGGCCTGGCATCCCTTGGAGATCTCCATGTGTCTTGATATCATTCTTCCCTGAGTCTAGGAAGTTCTCAGCTCAGGGACCCTGGGTCCCAAGGACATGCTCCACTCCAGGTTCTTCTTTCTTAGTGGTACTGAGGTCCCATGATCCTTGCTCACTTGTTTAATCTGTTTTCTATCTCAAAAGAGATTGACTGAAGATGCCACCTAATCCTATAGATTGTGTCTTGCCTCATTAACATAACTGCTTCTAATCTTGCCTCATTAACTTCATAGAGGTTAGGATTTATAACATGTAGGATCATTACATCCGATCACAAAATGGAGAATAATTACATAATACTGAGAATCATGACCTAGCCAAGTTAACACATATTTTGGGGGGACATAATTCAATCCATGACACCAACCAAGCACGAATGTGTCCATTTCATTACTCTGTGAGGTAAATGTGATGGGATAATATTTTAAATATAAGCCTTTCCTCCCTCCACTGGACACCTAGGCCTGCAGTGTCCATTGCTATAGGGGTGGGGTGACATAGCACAAAGTGATTCTTGGCTTTTAAATTTCAAAATCCTAACCCTTAAGGTAAGGAGCACCACTGCTGCAGGGCATAAGGCATTTGGCTGCTAACCAGAAGGTCAGCAGTTCAAACCCACCAGCTGCTCCGTGGGAGGAAGATGAGGCAATCTACTTCCATAAAGATTTACAGCCTTGGAAACCCAATGGGGGTTGCTATGACTTGGAATCAACTCAATGGCAGTGGGTTTGGTTTTCTCAGTAACCCTTAAGGTGGGTGGCAAAAACTTAGGATACATACAGTGAAAGAATATATGATAGGTCAAAGAACAAATCCACCAGTTGATGCCAAGTCAATTCCAACGCATGGTGATCCCATGTGTGTCAGAGTAGAATGATTCTCCACAGGGTTTTCAGAAGTAGATCACCAGGCTGTTCTTCCAAGGTGCCTCTTGGTGGACCCTAACTTCCAACCTTTCAATTAGCAGCTGAATGTGTTAATCATTTGCATCCCCTAGAAAACACTGGGTAAAGATTCCATAGGCCGGTGAGGGGTTAGGGAAGCAAAGAGAGTGTAGATATTGCTGGGGTCCCTGAGAAGAGGACTGAACATGACAGATACCCCACATAGGCTGGGAAATTATGGTGGGAGAGAAGCTCTGGGACCCACATTTCCTTGTTAGAGTCTGGGAAAACAGCAGGACCCCTGACTGGAAAAGGACATTTGCTATACTCTTAGCAGATAGGCCTGGGACAGCCCCAGGGCTTCCTGAAGTCCAGAGAGGTACAGGGCTAAGAGTTAGGATGCCTCAAAAGTAGGTAGTGACCATATGTAACAATGACGGCCAACTGACAGCTAGATGAGAATGAGGGTGGCTTAGCAGAGGCTGGCACGAGTGGATAGATGATGATGAATGAGAAACAAAGGCTTATACTACCTAAAGCCTCCCCTCTCTCCCAAACTTAACCCAAAGAAAAGGTGAGAGGACCCCACATTGACTAAGATTAATTTCTACCACCTGCTGAAATGGGGTTCATAACAAAATTATATTCAGTTTTAGAAAATAAAGTTGCATGTTTTATAGATTAGTATTTGTGAACTGAGTTGTACTTGTCATATTCTAGTTGCCATTGAGTCTACTCTGACTCATGGAGACCCAATGTGCATCAGAGCAGAACTGTACTCCGTAGAGATTTCAGTGGTTGATTATTTGAGAAGGCAAATCACCAGGCCTTTCTTCCACGGTGTCTCTGGGTGGACTCAAACCTCCAACTGAGCAGTTAAGAGTGTCAACCATGTGCATTTCCCAGGGATTCCACCTACAATGTGTAGTTGCTGTTGAATAGGTTCCAACTGATAGCAACCCTATGTACAACAGAATGAAACACTGGCCAGTTCCGTGCCAACCTATTATATAAGTAACTACAATTAGTATTTCCTCTATGGTTTTGTTATAAACAAAAGATGAAAACGTTATTTGGGTGAAATAACACTATACGTGCAAAATAAACTGTTCCCACTGTTCCATTGGGAGCTCTGGTAGCATAGTGGCTAAGGCACTTGACTGCTAACCAGAAGGCTGGTGGTTCAAACCCACCGGCCACTCCTCGGAAGGAAGGTTGGGCAATCCTACTTCCGTAGTGATACTGCCTCGGAAACCCAAGGAGGGGTCGCTATGAGTCAGGGCTGACTCGACGGTACATAACAACAACAACAACAACTGTTCCATTGCAATGTTTGTCAATTATAGATTTTCCTTCTTGCCTTTGAATTCAGAAAGCACAGGGATCTTGCCCCAAGTTCGGGTCAAATGACTGTAGCATTTCCTAAATGCTATATAAAATCTAAGTTAATGTTTGTTTGTTTGTTTTTCTTTTTTGATTGTTCATTCACAGAGATCCAACATACTGAAATAAAAGGTCATTACTGGGAATCAAGAACCTTGTTTGATGGTGAAAGCCAAAGAGTTTTTTGGCTAAGAATAGGGGGAGGACCCCACCTCAACAGGCAGCTCTATAATAACTGGTTTGGAAGTTCCATGGTGACCCCTGACAGCCCTGAGAGAACAATGCCAGGAGAGCAAGAGAGAAGTGGTCAAAGTTGTGAGGAACCAGTAAGGTCAGAGTTCCATGGGGTAAGACAACTGGGACCTCCAGGATCTGGGGCCAGAAGTCGAGGAATTCAGAGCCCCTGACTAAATCTGTGAGCTCGGGCTCACTGCCTCACTGAGGCCAGTCACAGCCTAGGTGAATGGAAAGGGATTGTGAGTGGGCATGGAACAAAGATGGCCCAGAGGTAATCCCAGTGCCCCTGGTTCAAGGGCCTCCAGGCTTGATTCAGCTGTTTTCTTTAGTGTCATCATCCCATGATGCACTGGGCATTCCCAAGGGCTTCTGAGTGCATAGACAGGGCATGGGCAATTGGGGAGGGCTGGAGAAGCCTGTGAGGAAAAGAGAAGGGAAGATTGTGACTGAGTGGGGAGAGGAAGTTGCCCGTTCAGCAGGGGAACCTCGATCTTGCCATCCACTGCCAAGTAGGTAGAATTTATGCCCCCCCCTCCCCCGTTTCCACAACCCTAGTGAATATGCCACCAGGAGGAAAAAGTCTGAGCTCCTGTAGAATTTACTGAGATGAGCATTTAGATACAAGCCCGCCCCCCCACCACACCCCCTGCCGACCTGCCCTGGAGTACTTTTGTTTTAAGCCTTAGTTCTAACTGAGAATGGAAATTCCATTCAACAAAGATTTATTAACTTGCTTTATTCCAATGGAATTCCAAGCAGATGAGAATTGAATTGTGAGAGAGCAAGTAAATCTTCCTGAATTATCTGAAAGCACACAGTTGCCCTTACTTTTACCTCAGCTTCTGTCCACCTCTCTTAGGAGGGCCTCCATGACCTTAGTTCAGAATGTGACAAGTGGTGGCCTGTAGGGCTCTTAGGACCTTAGTGAGTCCTTACATTTATAGTTGTAAGGGGCTACTCACCAAGGGGCTGGGTGCTGAGGCCAATGGCCCTGGACACAGCCTACCTGAACCAGAGCTGAACCATCAAATGGGGGTGGGGAGAAGCTGCAGTCAGAGCCCCCCAATTCCTTTCATTGACTTCCAGGTGTGCAAGATGGCCCGGAGTGGGGATTCGGATAGTCTTAGGCACCGAGGGCATCAATGCCAGCAGGGCTGAGCACCAGCGCCTGCAGGATGTCAGAGAGGGAGATCACCCCCAGGAGATGCTGGGTCTCATTCACTAGCACCAGCCGGTGTACCTGTGGGTCCACAGGGAGTCAGTTAGGGGGCAGAGCCATGGGACTATGACAGTTAAGGGGGTTGGCACCAAGAATCTGCGAAGACTTATCACCTTTGAGTACTGTGTTCTTTTCTTTTTAATTATATAAGACCAAGTGGATAACGGCTATTTTAAAAGCATAAATGAGAAGGCTGGAGGGCAGGGAGTTTAAGTCAAAGGGAATGAAAGAACCAGAATAGAAATAATGAGAATGTTGACATGATGTGAAGCATGTAACCAATGTCACTGAGCCTTATGTCTGGAAACTGTTGGATGAGAGTGGGTTTTGCTGTGTATATTTTCACCAAAAATAAAATATTAAAAACAAACAAACAAATGGCAGACAATTTGATATAACTGAGGGAGCAAGAGAGTATATACTCTCCCAGGAACCAGTTAGGGACCACCCTGGAGAAGATCAGCTGTCTGAGGCCCTTGTCCTCATAGACAGGACAAGTTGCAGACTAGTATGGACACCAAGAGCTTGACCATGAAATGAGGAGACAGGGTAGGTGTCTGATACATAGGGATGGCCAGAGTTCATAGACAGGACAAGTTGCAGACTAGTATGGACACCAAGAGCTTGACCATGAAATGAGGAGACAGGGTAGGTGTCTGATACATAGGGATGGCCAGAGTGGGACTGGGCCATGTGTGTTGGTGGTCTGTATGGAGGGGTATCTCTATGGGTACCTGCTCCCGGGCAATCCTGTCGATGATTTCCCTCAGGCTCTCGTGGGGCTGGCAGGAAAGGACTCCCTCCAGACACAGTGTTCTCTGCCTCAGGGCTTCTCCCACACTCATGTCTAGGTGGTTGTAGGTTTTCTGGGCAGCCAGGTGCTAGAACGAGGAGAAACGTGCCATTTTTAGTCCCTCCCCGACCCAGGCTCTAGGCCCACAATATCACCTCTTCACTCACCAAGATTGCCCTAGCCTACAGATACCTCAATCGATCCTCCCACTTGCAGCTCCCTGTGGCACCCCCACCTCCCCTCCATTCCCCACAAACACTTACAATCACATCAAATCGGGAATAGAGGCCCACGACCTGACCTGTGTGTGGGAGGGGGTGAGAAACAGAGGGGAAAGAGGCTCAGATCAGAACCAGGATGCTGTGAGCAGGACCTGATCAGGCTTTTGGACTCAGCTCCTCCACAAGCCCCTCCAAGGTCTGTGGCTTTATAATGGAGGCATGAGGCTGCCAGTCTCTATGTCTGAATCAAATTTGTCACCACAGAGAGTAAGGCAACCTGACATTGTGCTTCCTGACATGATGCACTATGGCATGTCACCTGTGAAATATTCTAGTTCCCAATATGTAACCTGAATCTGATCCTCTTTTGATCTAATTTCCCACTCACAGGAAACACAGAGATAGAGTAACAAGGTAAAGACCAACCCTAGAAATCAAACAGACAAATCCTGGAGGGGGACAGTCTCTAGGACAAGTGACCCAGCCTTTTCAACTTGTCAATGTCATGAAAATTTAGGGGTGTATGTGGGGGGAAGACTGAGCAATCTACTTCCGTAGAGATACCACCTCAGAAACCTAAGGAGGGGTCCCTAAGAATGGAACCGACTTCCCAGCAGTGAGTTTAGTTGTTGTTTTTCTCTTTGTTTGTTTTTGTTTTTCGTGAGGGTACTATTCTAGATTAAAAGAGAATTAAGGGACAAAAACCCCAACAAACCAATCATACAAAAAATATATGGATAGTCATTTTGTCATCAAGTGGATTTTGACTCATAGAGACTCCATAGGATGGAGTAGAACTGCCCCCATAGTGTTTCCTAGCCTGTAATCTTTATGGGAGGAACTCACGTGGTAAAGTGTCTAAGGCACTTGACTGCTAACCAGAAGGTTGGTTGTTCAAACCTGACAGCCACTCCTCAGAAGGAAGACTGGGCAATCTACTTCCGTAGAGATACTGCCTCGGATACCCAAGGAGGGGTCGCTATGAGTCAGAATGGACTTGACGAGAGTGAGTTTGGTTTTGGTTTAATCTTTATGGGAACAGATTGCCAGGTCAGGTTTTCTGCATAGCCACTGATAAATTGAACTGCGTACCATTGGGTTAGCAGCCCAGAGTTAAACCATTGCCTCACTTCATCTCCTTCCACTAGACCCTGAACCTCCAGGCTGATGCCATTAGGTCCATAAACTCCACAGCTCCATCCATGTTCTCCCCACCAGTCCCTTCCTCACCCCGGCCCTAGCCAGACACCCTGGTTTGGGGTGCATTCTGCTTGCAGTACCAGACTCATTGACCACAGGCAGTGCAGACACACGCCGGTCCACAAAGATGTCCAGTGCAGTCAGGAGCGGGGCCGTTTCCAGGACCACAGCCAAGTCTCGGAATGTGCCAATGCCCAAATCTTGGATGGTGCGGGACAGGAAGGAGGGCTGGGGCAGCAGGGAGCCCTGGGTGGAGTTGGGAGGAGGTGGTGATCAGGGCTTGAGTGCTCCCAGTGGGCTCTGCTCTCCCCAGTCCCCAACTTAGGCTGCCTCCCGGTGTGCTTCCCTCTTGTGCCCCGCCGGACTCACAAAGATGTGCAGGAACTTCAGCAACCGTTTGTGGGTGAGGATGTGGAGCACGTTGCCTGAAACTGGGTCCAGGACAGGCAAGCGATGGATCCGGTTCTTGATGAGGGTGTAGACGGCTTCAAATAGACTGTGGGATGTGGGGCAGTGAGTGCGGGGGCAGTTGGGGGGGAAAAGACATCTCCATCCCTCCCCTAAAGAAGAAGACAGGGCGCCAACTCACCTTGTTTGCCCCTAGGATGAGGTGAGTTCAGAAGTGAGTAGGGCTGGGGAAGGACATTGTGCAGGGCAAGAAGGGGCCGGGGTGGGGTCAGGGGTCTTACCTGTCATTGGGAGAGATGGAGACAAGAGGCTTGAAGAAGCCTTGCAGATAGATTTCTGCAGGAAAAGCTGGAGTCAAGCCTGGGGAGCTGCCCACCCCACTCATTTCCTCCCACCTCCACCCTCAGCCCTCCTCACTCTGTGCCCCACACTCCTCTCCTTCCCTCAGGCCCCCTGTCACCCTTCCCAGCTCCCTTCAGGAAATCCCAACCGCTTTTCTTCCACCTGGGTCCTTGGCCCTACCCTCACCCAAGCACCTTCAGCCCCTCATGGGGCTCCTAAAGCCCCTCTTTCAGGCTCACCCCTCCAGGTCTCAATCTTATGTTCTTCGATCTCATAGATCTGGACCTAGAGACATGGACAGGCGCCCCGGGAAGTCAGACATGAGCCCCAGACCCCAGGTTGCAGAAGACTCCCCTCTGCCCAGCCCATCTGGGTGCCTCAGGACTCCTAGCCCATCCTCACCAGGGGGGACCTGTAGTAGCGGTGTAGCACCAAGATGAAGTCTGTGATGGTCAGCATCCCTGTGAGGATGGGAGGGGAGGGAGGAAGGTCAGCCTGGTACCTTTTGGAGGAAGGCAGTTTGAGGAGTCAGGACCTGTCCCTCTCGCCCTTGCCCTAATGCTGATATAATAGTGGAGATTCTGAAAAGAGGAGAGTCAGCCTTGGAGTCTGAGAAATGGAGTTCTCTATTCTGTGTCTCCCCCTCTAATTGCTTTCCTTCTTCCTTTCCCCTTTTCTATTCTCCTATTCTTTTCTCTCCCAGTGGAAGGGATCATCTACTCACAATTCTGCCACAGATGGTGAGATTGAGCCCCTGTCATCTCCCAGCTAGCCACCCCAAGACCTGGAAGGGGCTTCCGCCACACTGTCTCCAGCTTGGCTCAGCCTGAGGCTCTGTTCAAGTTATACAGTTCCCTCCTTCCTGTTCCCCAATCACTCCACCTCCCTGGCCCCCCACTCACCCACAAAGCTTTGCTTTTTGCTGTCCCATAGAGGTGCTGCCCGCACACCATTGGCCACTAGGGCAAAGAAGGCCTTCTTGATCTGAGAAGGAAGGGGGAGTAGTCAGGAGGTGAGTCTTGAATAGGTCCTCCTCCTCCTCTCACTGTCACATCTCCCCGCTGTCTCCTCTGTCCTCCCCAAGATCCCTCCATGGGACTTTCTTCCAGGCCATCCTCTATGGAAGCTTGCTTCCCTTTCTCATGTCACAGCACACTAAAAATGATCAATGTCAGGCACATTGGACAATGAAGGCATGATTGCTTGTGACCAACCACACCAGCATATGGAAACTAACTCAGTATTCCCACTTATAAGCCATGTGTGCATGGTCTTTGTAATTTTCACTAATCTAAGTCCTAAAGGTACAATTTATATAACATTTACATATTTTTTCTCTAAGTAAACTTTAAGTTCACTCATTTTGAGCCTCATCCTAAGCAATAATAAGCAATGTGCTGCTTGTATTTTTTTAATACACCTTAAAATAAATGTGAAACTACTGAAATAAAAATATATGTTCATGTATCACAAGAATCACATTCCACAATGTGCATATATATATATATTTTGGGGAAATACATCTCTACTGTAATGATGATAAGACTAGAATCGTAGACATTTTATAGTTTGGTTGAGTAGAAAAGGAGGGACCACAGCTCATCCTATTTTTCTGTTACCAAGAGTCTCCTACTCCTTGTCCTGAGTGGTTCTGCAGTATCTTACACATGCTTCTCTGTCTGTAAATGTTCCCACTTACAGTGGGTTGTGCCACAGTGCTCTGAAACAGGTAGGGAAAACACATTCGTATCCCTAATGCAATGTTGGTGCATGGGTGACAATGGTGGGATGACGAGCGGGGGTGTCCGAAGAAAGCAGAAGCCCTCCCTCCACCCACCAGTCTCCATTGAGCTAAGGAACCCTTGAAGGGGGCGTGCAGGGGACATGGCAGGGGTAGTGGTAGTGCTGTGAGGATGGAGACTGAGCTTGGTGGGACAGAGGTGTGTCTCACCTCCAGCATGGTGTCAAAGATGACCAGCTTGGAGCTGGTTGCCATGGCATCATAGCAGGTGTGCTCCTGCATGAAGTGCATGTAGACCTGGGCCCCAGGCTTCAGCAGCTCATCATCCCAGCTCAGCTTGAGCAGTGGGGCCTTGGGGGATGGGCACAGGGCAGGCCTCTCTTCCACCAGGCCTTCAAGCTCATACCCCCAGCCTGCTGTGACTGGGAACTCTATGCCCAGCTCCAGATCATCCGTGCTGGAGCTCGCAGCTGAGATGGCACAGGCAGGGTGCAGGAGGTCGCACTCTGTTGGTGGGGTGCCTGCCCAGGGCGAGGGAGCAGCTTGAGCCAAGGGTGTGGCCTTGGGGAATGTGGCCTCTAGCCCAGTGGACTCAGCAGCTGCCCTGGACTGGGGACCTGTGGGAAGGGGAGGAAAGATAATAACTCCATCTTCCAAAACACTTGGGAAGCCTGGCCTGCAGCCCCCATTTTGCAGTTGAGAAAGCCGAGGCTCAGAATCACACAAGGTAGTGGCTTTATGCTGTCTTTCTGAGTTGACCATGCTGGGCACCTGGGTAGATTGAGGCTACAAGATGAAGTTTGGGTCATACATTATGGCAGACCCAGGACACAGCCCAGCCCCAAACTTGCAACTTCCCATGACTACCACTCCCACATCCCCAAAGCTGGCCATGACCTCACCTTCCCCCAGGACTGGTGGCTCCCCTTCCTCCACAGCGTCCTGCCTTGTCCCTGTCGAGGCCTTGGCCCCCCATTTCCCACAGGTTCTTTCTGACTTGGTGGTCATGGTCGGTGATGGCCATGAGGCGCTATCTCCTTGCTCTAGGAAACTCATTTCTGGAAGGGAGAATGAGGCCCATTTGGTAGATAGGGAATGACACAACCAAATCAATAAAATGTTATTGGTAATAACATTTGATATTTGCAACCCTCTAAAAGGCTTTTCTCCAACATATTTCTCATTCAAACCTCATAGCAGCCCTATAAGGGAGACATTATTATCATTGCTATTTTACTAGTGAGGGACTTAAAGTTCAGAGAGGTTAAGCAATTTGCTACAAGTCACACAGCTAGTAAGTGGTGAAGTCAGGATTGGGGTCCAAGTCTTCAGACTCCAGATTCCCCCTCCTTCTTTTGGAAAAAGGAAAGCGGCAGTGAGAGAAGCAACAACTGGGAAAAGGATGAAAAGGAGATAGGGAGGAAAAAAGGCAAAGGAGAGGAAAACAAAATCCAGGCTAGTGGGAGGGGGGCAATTGGGGTCCCAGAGAGGTGGAGTACAAAGGGTGTGGGGAAGAGGTTAGGATCACTGGGAGAGGGGCAAGCCCACCTACCTCGATGCTCAGGCTCCCCAAGGCTGCTCCAGGATGGGGTCTGTGGGGAGAAGGTCTGATAGGGTGGGGAAAACACCTTAAGTTCTTGAACCATAGATCCTCTCCACCACACACACACATACACACACACACTCGTATACATATATTCAGACACATACACTCATGCATATAGATACATAGATACACACCCATATAGATACACAGACACCCCCCATATACACACCCCTACACAAACACACACATAAACACATACATAGCCACACACAAAAGCTTATACACTCACAATGGCACACATATCCAACCACTCCCAGACACACACAGGACCGCATATACTCACACACACACCAAATACACAGAGCATTCACATGCTCTCATACACAGAGACAATCCAGACTGAACTCTCTCTCTCTCTCTCTCTCTCTCTAGCTTGATGTGCACTCATCCACTGCTCCAGCTGCCCCAGCTCCCGCTGCCCTGGGACCCCTGTAACCTACGCAGTGCTTACTACAGCTCTGCTCCATGCCGCCAGCCCCAACCCACCACAGAGGAGAGTGAGTGTGAGACACTGCGGCCCGGGCAGGACTATTCTGGGCCTAGCCCCTGGCATCCTGCCTTCCCTGATCGGTTTCCCTTTGATTGGGTGTCAGACTGCAGGAAGGAGGGGTCCATCCGCTCAGCTGCTCTAGCCCAGTCGCCTGGGAGTGGGTAGGGAGGAAGGGGCTCACCAGCGGAGCTTGGTGCCTGACCCTTAGGCTGCCTCCTGGGTCTCTGAGGATAGGCTAGGCCAGACACTGCCTGGGGGAGGCCCTTGGGGTACTGTGGGGGACAGGGCTAGGAGAAGGAGGGCCTCAAAGTCCCACATTCCTACTCTGAGGGCCTCTGTCATCTTTGTCAGACACAAAAGGAGGGAAAATGGAGGTAGATTGGGCCTGATTTTCTTCTTGTACAAACTCCATTGGGTGAGGTGGTACTGGAGTTAGAAAGGTCACACTGCTTACTCAGAGGCCAGAGATAGGGCAAGGACTTTTGGGTGGTCCCGGGAGAGCAGCCAAAAATCTGTCTAGAAGTACCCATTTGAGTCCCAGGAGTCTATCCCTCTCTCTGGAGAAGGGGCTGGAGTGGGGATGGTTCCGGCAGGTGGAGAGTTGGGAATCACCTTGAAGGTGTAGGGTGGCCTTGAGGGCTCAGGGCTTGTACTCCGCGGGGTGAGACACCTGTTCCTACCTGTGGTTGGAGGTATGCCCGGTTGTGCAGGAGCCCAGCAATCCCACTTGCTGTGTGTGTTGTACATACAACTCCTGGAGCCAGCAGGATCCCAGCCCGGCTCTGTGGCTGCCCCTCTCCCGCCGCCCCTCCTTAGCATTCCTGGGGCCTGAGTCAACTTCCAAATCAGGAATGCCGACCCAGCTGCTCCCGCTCCCCTCTCCCTGCCCCTCCCTTCCTCACCTTCTTCTAGCCTCTTTCATCCCCATCTCACTGAGGACTGAATTCATGGATTTCTTGCTGAACTGAATGAACACATTTCCCATGACCCCTCAAAACACTTGTGCTGTCTGTGGGCATGGAAGGACTTTGCCTTTCATATGTGTTTTGGATAATACAGGGGGTGAGTGCAGCCCGCATCCCACTTCCTCATTTAGCCCTCTGGAGATCCCTGTCTGGTCCCAGATGATGGAATTTCTGAGGTACTACTAATGGGGGCACCTCAGGTGGTATAAAGATCAACTGGACCATCCTTGGAGATATGCAATACAGTGGACATGGAAAGCACCCTAGGTCCTTGCCCCACCCCATTATGCTGCAGACAGCTTTTATAGCCAAGGCAGATACAGAACCAACTGTACTGCCTTCTCCTGGAACACTCCCTTCTCCCTCCACCTCAGACATGTCTACCCTGCAGGGCCCCCTCATCCAGAAAGTCTTCCTGGTTACCCACTTGTACTAAATTGATCTCCTTATAGTCCTGTGTACACACTCAGTGCAGGCTGTGTTGGCATTTATACAACAACTTCATCTATGAATGTCTTTTATTCCCTATTCCACTGTGGGCACCTTGATAACTGGAACATGTCCACTGGATGTCATAGAAAGCCTGTGAATTTGTGGTGCATATGGATCTGATTAAAATTCATGCTCTGCCATTGATTTGCCATATGATCTTGAAAAGTGTTGCGTACTTTCTCTGAAGGAGCTCTGGTGGTGCAGTGGTTAAGGCATTTGGTTGCTAACCAAAAGGTCTGTGGTTCAAACTCACCAGCCACTCTTCAGAAAAAAGATGAGGCAGTCTGCTTTCCATAAAGATTTACAGCCTTGGAAACCCAATGGAAGTCACTGTAAGTCAGCATTAACTTGATAGCAGTGAGTTTTGTTTTATTTTCTCTGAGCCTGTTTCCATGTATGTAAAATGCAGATAAAAACTGTCTGCAGAAGAGACTGCCAGTTGCCTCCTGCCTCCATATCTATTTTTTTCTTCTGCCTTTAGTAGTGTAATAACCAAATACAATCACCTGAATTTTAGCTGACATGGCTGCCCGTAATAAAAACTTAGATTCCCAGCCTTTCTTGCAACTAAATATGCTCTCATAACTAAATTCTGGCCAGTGAGATGTGAGTGGAAGTGTCATAAGTGACACTTCCAGGTCAGAACTTGAAAGAGGCATGAGTCCCCCTTTTCCTTTGCCTCTTCTGCTGTCTGGAATGCTCATGTGATGGCAGGAGCTAGCTCAGCCACCTGTGTCCAAGATGGAAGAGGTTTGTGGAGAGTATGTACGGACTATTATGTGAAAGAGAAATAAACCTTCTTGTTTAAGCCATTCTTAAATCAGGTTTTGTTACAGCAACCAGACATATTTCCAAACTAATACAGAATTTGGGATCTCCTCCTTGGGTTTCCAAGGCAGTATCACTACAGAAGTAGGATTGTCCAACCTTCTTTCTGAGGAGTGGCTGGTGGGTTTGAACCGCCAGCCTTCTGGTGAGCAGTCAAGTGCTTTAGGCACTATGCTACCGGAGCTCCTTTTAAATCCTAAAGTAAGTGATTTACAGATTGGGCAGAAGATAGCAAGAACAAACACTACAAGCTGGTAAGCTGATGACCGTGTTATGTTATAGCAAGACATACGGTAACTCTGACATTTGCAATGCCTTGGAATGTCGATTATATGCTGACAGGGTGTGTAACTCAGAAATACTGCTGGAAGAACTCAGATTGTTGGTATGTGTTAGCTGTTTTCGGCTGCTACTAGCAAAGTCCTTCAAGAGGTGTACCCAGGCTTGATGGAGGAAGTAGTTCCGAAGAGGTAGCCTTAGCAGGGGCTGCACTTGTGGTCTCAAGCCTTTCTCAAGCACATGCTTTTGAGCAGAAATTGGAAGAAGGGCATTCTCTTCACAGGCAAGCATGTTTTCTTCCATGGCCTCAAGATAACCACCAACAGTTTGAGAGAGAGGAGACTAGCAAGAACATCAAGTCCAGTGTATTCAAGCATAATATTGATGTTTACACAAAGCTGTTGACTATGGTTACTCAAACACGAATCCGATCAGAATTTAAGGGCATTGTATTAACAAAGAAACCATGAACCTGATCAGCAAAACTTGGCTTGACACCCGAAATGCCCGCAACCCCTCAAGTCTGTATCATCAGGAAGAGGGTATGAAAACTTCAGGGTCCACAGGAAGGACAGGTTCTCCAATGTGGCCACAAGGATATTGGATAAGGAATAACTTCCCAGGAGGCAAAGCCAGAGGCCATACAGGAGAATGCAAAGGGGAGATCTCCCCAGAGAACAGAACCGGGAGGGCCAGATGCTCTGAGTAAGAACTTACTCCACAGCCAGGAAAAGGCTTTGCAATTCATGCCCAGCTGGCTTTAGTAAAAAAGTCCAGTGAGTGCTGGGTGTTTGCCATTCATTCCTGTCCTGAGTGGATGTTTTAATTGGACTTGTCCAATTCCCACTCCTGTTATTAAGAGTGGAAGGGCATATTTCCTGCCTTTTAATTTTTAGCTCACCAGACCATGAAGAATCCCATTCAGACCTGGTAGAAATGACTGCTCACCCCTCAGAAATCCTGGATTCTGACCTGGGTGCTGTCCCCAGATGGAACTTTGTCTTCCCTCCCTTGGAGGGGTGGTGAATGTGTTCTTTGTCTGGGGTAGTCAGACAGGGGGCTCTAGTAGAGCAATAGCTATTTTTCCCTTCTTCCTCTGCTAGTAAATCCCTACAATTTTAGCTGAATGAAAGATTATATTACCCAGCTTCCTTTACAGATAGTAAAGCCATGTGACTATCTGTGAAATCAGATTTCAGTAGCAATGTAGTTTGCAACTTTTGAGTGTGCCCTTAAAAGGAAGAGGCAGATTTTCTCCTTCCTACTGATTGGAATTATGATAGTGGAAACTAGAGCAGCCATTTGAATCTAACCATTTGAAGACACGTTGAAAATGATGGAACCTCCTCCACCCCATCCTGCACTGCCTGCCTTTAGAGAGAACTGTCTTGTTTAATCCACTGATAAATGGCACCTTTTCTATAGCAGCCGAGCATCTCCCTAACTCAAACATCTGTCTACATTGCAGGATTGGGGTAGGATTAGAAATTACATATGTATGTGATAAACTTTAATAAATTTATTCAGGGAAAAAGCTCCGGCAATCTATTTCTAAAAAAACAGCCACAGAAAAGCCTACTCTAACACATGGGATCACCGTGGGTTGAACTTAACTCAATAGCAACTGGTTCGTTTTAAGTGGTTACTATTATTTTTACCTTGCCACCTGCTTCACAGTCCTCCTAAACTTCTAGCTACAAGGCTGTGAATGCAGGTCAGGTGTGGGAAGGGTCTGACTCTGTAGTAGTTATTGCCCAGTAGCATCAAGAGAGGAGTAGAGAAGGGGCCCAGGGGACAGGGTAGAACCAGCACTGCTCAACACCACAATCATAGTGATTTTCTAGTTTTAAGGAAGGATGACTCTGCTTTCTCTCTCTCCTGCCTCTGCCCTCTCCCTGTCCTACCCTTGTACCTTGCTCCTGTCCTCTTCTGCCCCTG